TTGAGTGATTAAATAAATTGCAATTATCGTTTATTATATAATTGATTCTTATATACATATTTTCGTGCATTTACTTTAAATCAACGTATAACGGATTATCTGATAATTTCAATGTTGTTGTTAAATTGATGAGGTACTTAACTTACCAGAAAGAATAGGTTTTGTAGTTTGATACTGTCTAATATTTTCATTAGTAGATTTTTCAAAAGAAATTCCACCCCCTGATTAAACTGCTCAACAATCTTCTTTAATCTTTTATTTAATCAAGAACAAATATTATTTTAGCTTGCATTATTAACCAACTGAAAGGTGGGTTTAAATATTAAGCTGACACAACAAAACATGGCACCCAACTTAAATGGCAGTTTTTTTACTTAAAATACAATGGTTGGTATCGTTCGAAAAAGGAATTATGGGGGATACCGTAAATGTTTCTAAGTATGTGCGACCTGTCCATCTTTATTTATGTTAAGGTATTACAGATATTTGACATCATTTGGTAACGATATTGATCAACATCTCCTCTTCATTTATACATCTTAAATATTTGTGTTGCAGTGAGTTAACATCAATTAGGTCCTTAATACACCGTTTATGGATTGATCATCTTGGTAAAATGTAATATGCCGGTGAAAATACACCCGTCAGAAATATACGCTTAAGTAAACACAATATTTCGTTTATATTAAAACCCGAAGATTCACGTTTAAATATTCAGCCATTTAAAACTAGATACATTCCTAGTCCTGATGGAAATGAAAGTAAAAGTTTTCGTTTGTTTGTGTGTTTTACTGCAAAGCAAAAAAAAAAAGCATCGTGTAAGTATTTCTGTCTAATGCATGTTTTCCCCTAAACTAAACATAATTGTGAGATCCAGGTCATCCAAATTCTGGTGGATAGTGGAACATTACCAATCATACCAATTATTCTTATTTAATATTTAAGGAATATTGAAGGTAACTTTTTAAGGGATTATACATCAATTACATGTACTTTTTGACTGGTGTATATTGAAAAACGACTTCATAAATTACAGATTCAAGTGAAGTTTCACCCCCATTTTTCGGTGGGGTTCGTGTTGCTCAGTCTTTAGTTTTCTATGTCGTGTTTTGTGCACTTTTGTTTGTCTGTTGGTTGTTTTTTTTCAAAACATTATGATAGTAAATAAACATGCTCAATATTAAATCTATAAGCTAAATCGTGTGTTCCGTCTAGATGTATTGAAAGTACACTGTAGAGATAACAATAGTTTAATTATACGATGAAATCAATTGGTCCGTGTCGTACACCATGCCGGAACTTACTCTTTTACACCAATATACAGCACTAATAAAGACTGTTATACACAGGTTTGGTTTAAGTGGTATGTGTTTTATCACACACTCTACACCATGTTGTAAATTAATGAACGATGAATAATTGTTTTTTTTTATATACAATTGTTGCTACATTCATCAAAAAATTGTTTTCATTAAAAATTAAAGCTGTGAGATTTTCTATCAACCTGAAAACATTTGTTTATATTGACTGCACTAACGATATTAACGTATTAAGATGAACACTTTATAAAAATAATAGATTGTTTTGCATTGCAATATGTATAAATTGTCATTCAATAAAGTGTATATGAAGGATTCCTATTGTATCTAAAGCCAAACGCAGATGAAAACATGTATGTTTGTAGTGGTATGTATGTTCATTTTCTGAAAAAAAAATCTGTTTTAAATGAAGTTAATGATACCTCTATTTACACTTTTGTTTGAGATAAAACAAGTAGATAGTGCAATATTTTATATACACTATAGGGATAGAAATAGTTTATTTTCAAGATTGGATAGATTGGTCTGTTTCGTATATCATGCAACTTGCGTCTTTATACCAATATATGTGAAATGCTTTTATTCAAAAACCTACACCACGTAGAAGTGAACAAAACAATGACAAGTTCCTCGATTGTCTAACAGTATAAGTATAGACGTATGATATAATTATATATGTGAGGGTCTATACAATTATCTGTTTCTCCAAAATATTCAGTAACAAGTAAGCTTTTTTTTTTGACGTCTTATAAAACAAAACTAGAATGACACAAGAATGAGATAGAATAATGAAAAGAGTGACAATGTTCTCATCCACGGAACACAAATTCCAACACCCCCTCCTCCCCCCCCCCCCCTCCCCACCAAAACAAAAGATAAAATAGAAGGGAATACTTACAATCTATAAGTTCATACATATGAACTTATCCGGTGTATACATTCCAAAATGGCAGCCACACTTTTAAATGTTCTTACATGCTCGAAATTCCACTCTACCACAGTCTGAGCTTTAAATAGAGATAGTCCACCGAAAAAAACATTAATTTTTTGAAACTGTAAATAGCGGTATTTCGCTTGTGGCTTTTTTCGGTCCTATGTTATACCGTGATTCTAATGATGTATTTTTAATCAACTTTTAGTAAATGAAACATGATTTTAAAGTTTTTCATCCGAAGTTGTTAAACTTTGGGATATAAGTAATAACCAAAAGAGCTCCTTAATGAAATGTTATTATCCTAGATATCTTAGATAGTTATCATTCGTTTACTAAAAAGGGTTTGTAACAATTGACAGTAAATATACTGAACAAAGTATGCACGATATAAATTTACGCTTACATCAGCATATTATGCTGTTAATATCAAACCTATGCACGGTAATTGCATCATTCAAACACAGTTAAACAAAATCCCGGTAATGACAAAATGGAAGAACAAGTCTGTTAGGGTATGTGCATTCTACTTTACGACATACTACTTGCAGCATTGGAGTACTTTTGCGTAATGCATTATATTCGCATATTCTGCAGCAGTTAAGGAAGTATTTTTGAGACGGCTGACTACCCTTAGTTTTCTTATAAAATCAACAACATATACGACTCTAAGATAGTTGTGTCAATGACATCATACCACATGTTCTTATTTTTTGTTCAAGGACTATTAATTACAAACACGTGTAATTTGTAATAGATGTATGTAGGCGTTAGCCCGAATGGGTGTATCTGATTTACACAAATATCCTATATTCATTGTAGAATGATAGTTTTCAATAATTAAGGAAGATGGTCTTTTGATGATTTGACAATTTGTTTTTGAAAGGCGTGATAAATGCAGGGTTTCCAATTCATTGAACGACATCTTGTTGTAAATTGAGATACGAACTCCTAACGAAATGTTTAAAATGACGTTTCACAATTCTTGTTATAAGTCGTTTTTTCTTCTTCATCAAGGGGACATCGTTTATATCGAATCAATACAAATCTTGTATGGGTAATGAGGGTAGACACTGTTTAAAGAAGAGGTCATGTTTTGTACGTTAACAGGAAATTATAGAAATTACAAAAAAGTTGAAATAAATATAAGAAGATGTGGTATAAGTGCCAATGAGACATCTCTCCATCAAAGTCAAAATTTGTAAAAGTAAACCATTATGGGTCTAAGAACAGCATTCAACACCGAACAACAAGCTATAAAAAGCCCCAAAACTAAATGACTAGTGTAACCATTCAAACAGGAAAACCAATGGTCTTATCTATATAGAAAGACGAGAAACGAGAAGCACTTATAAACAACAGTAACAAACGACAACCACTGAACATCAGGTTCCTGACTTAAAACAAGTACAAATAAATGCAGCGGGTTTAAACGTTTTAATAGACGCAAACCTTTATCCTACCTGCAACAATAGTGTAACATTACAAAATAGAACGACACGCGCTAAAATAGAAGTTGAAAAGGCTTAACTAAATCAAAATACATATTAACAAAACCAAGTGAACACACACTGAACGAATACATTTGATCTATGACACAAGGTAAATACAAAATCAATAAAACAAGAGGGTTGGATGTTAAACAATAAAAAAAGACAACCATAACATTGGACAAAATGCAGGCAAATAAAATAACGTACACATGTAAATTAAATATTTTTTCTGCAAGGTACATGTATACATAGAGTACGGAAATATTACATAATAACTAATTTTGTTGTTCATACTACTAGTACAAAAGTGAACATTTATAGTTATACCAAACACTTAGTGACAAATGTATATCTGAATTGGACGACGAAGATAATGACACAAAGATAAAGAAACAACACGGGAATACAATCAACCATTTTGTTTTAAAGATTTTGTAAAGAAGATCGACTTTTGAAATCACGATACACAAATTGCGTCATTGGTTTGTGTTTGTTGTTTTGATCTGATTTGTTGTGCGTTATATTTGCTTTTCAATAATCTAAGACCTTTGATATTAAACACAAAAATGTTAAAAATAAGAAAATAGACTCAAAATAGGAAAAATACTTGTAGTTCTAAGTTAAGTTCTGTACTCCAATAAAGGTGTAAGCTTATTTGTAATAACATTCCTTAAAGCTTTCTTTTCAATAAGAGTTTGAATTTAAGAGTATAATATATAAAACTGTTGATTCGTCATAATGGTATGTCATCAAAATTAGAAAGAATACAAAATTGTTTTGAGAATGCACCAATGCATTAAAACGTTTGTTCGGTTATAGATGTAGGTATCCCATTTTGACACTAACATGTATATTGTTAATGATTTTGAATAGAGAACAAAGAATACTTAATAACCTTCTTGTTTTTACTAATCAGATGATCAAAGACTTTTAATGAATGAGACACAGACTTTGCTTTGATTTCAATTATGTCACATTAAGTGAGAAATTTAATTCATTATATTGCTCTAGGTTTTAAATTGGTCTCCGTTAGCAGTTTTATAACCTGTAATTTGGGGAATTCCCATTTTTAAAAATTAGCTGAACTAATTCTTGTTCTTTGATTCAGTTAAACATGTTTAACAATTTAAAGAAATACAGCGATCGCGAGTTACGTAAGGCTGTTAGCTAATGTCGTGTCTTGATCCCATTTAGTGTTTTGTAGTATAAAATTGTTTATGAAATGATAAGGATAATAATCATGACATTTTTTTTCAGCTTTCTCAAGCAAAGTATTGTATTCAACCTACAATGCAATTATGGAATTCGATCTTGATACACGCAATGTGACTAAACTGTTAGAGCCTGGAAGTAATCGTGTGTTTGCCATGGACTATGATTACAAACACAGATTCATTTATTTTCCAAGATACGATACCCATGACATCGTTCGGTAGGTAAACGTTTATTCTGATGACGCAAATAGTAAGGAAAACATAGATTGATAATGTTAAATTCACGTATGATGGATAGCATAGACATTTTATATTGATTTATGCAAGTATCTATATACCCATTTACCACAACGTTAAACGAACAATCTTAGATTTGGTCTTAAAGTATCAAAATTCATTTTTAACAGAGTTATTAATATTGAATATTTCTGACATGTAAACATTGCATTGACAAATTGTTTGGCTTCCAGTTGCTTCATTCGGGGTTTAAGTCTACAAATACTGATTGGCTTTGTATAGTGCATGCATCATCTTTCGTTCATAATTTGTATTTTTGTGTTCCTTTGTCATAAGACCGGCAAAATAGCAAAACTCTACGGAAATCGCTATTTTGCCGGAGCCGGTAAAAAACACCTGAGATGCTATATTGCCGGAGCCGGTAAAAATGCACCTAAATTAACCGACATAATATACTAAGAGTATACTTTTCCCAGAAAAGAACTTATTTTACATTTTATTATTAAGTACAAATGAAATCAGACATGTCAGTGTTGGATGATGCAGTCTAATAGTTGTTTTTATACACACGATTCTTAACTACAAACTTAAGAGACGGTTCAATATTATGAATACAGAGACGAAATGCGGACAATCTTAATTGATGTGGAAAGATTTTGCATTCATTGTTTTACAATATTGCTCTCATTTGTATTATACAATCCATACTGACATAAAAAAAAAGATATATGATGCAGCCATAATGATTTACATACTAAAGTGCAAATACGGTCAAATAATTTCATGAATGTTGGCATACGAGTCAACATTAGGTATCGAAACTAATGGAATTTTTCTACGTATCAATATATTGAACAAAGAAAGGACATGCTGGACAAAAGTGTGTAGTCATACTGTTCAAATATTGCTGCCATTCGTGTGATACAATATACAATCCATACTGACATAAAACAATTATTGAATTATTATGCAGCTATATAGATTTACTTAATAAAGTCCAAATATTGACATCTTTAGATGATACGGTCAAACAATTTTGATATACGAGTCAGCCTGTGGTATAAAAACTACTGAAATTTTGTAACGTATCAATATATTGAACACAATGAGGACATGAAAAACAGTGCTCTTACATGAGAAATTGTTTGGTTAAACGGTGAAAGCTTCAAAAACATATAAAAACTGTTCGATAGCATATGCAAACTATCTACGCGACATCTTTTAACATAAAAATACAGCGCATGATAAAAATTAGGCGGAAGAAAGAAAACAGAATAATCAGGACAAAAGCAAAAGGTCTTTTCGCGGAAAAGTGGAAAGACTTAATAATCAGAACAAACACAAAAGGGGATTCTACGGAAAAGTGAATAGACTTAATAATCAGAACAGAAACAAACGGTCTTTCCACGGAAAAGTGAAAAGAACTAAAAATGTGCTTACATATCAAGTATCTTAAAAACATATATTTTTTTCTTAAAATATGTCGAATTTTGCCATCAAAATAGTCGTGGGAAAATCCCCAAGAAAACATTTTTCTTAAAACATCATCAACTTTCAAAGTTTGTTATTAAATGTTTAGTTTTAACACACATTGAAATGAATGATTACATTTAATTTAGAGGATTTTGAGAAAAAGGTTATAAGTGGGATAATTCGTCTCTGTGTGTGTAATATGAATCAGACAGTAGAGACTTTTGTTATAAAATACAAGTTCCGTTAATGAATCATTTTAATATCAATAACTTTTTTTTATGATTTATATAGATTTGCATATCCCTCAACGAACAGAACATTACATACAGTTGTCCAGACTGATCCATATCCAATAGGACTAGCTGTTGATTCAACCAATGAGCATTTCTACTTTGTTGTTATTGCTGCTACTGACACACTTTCAAGATGTAATCTAGATGGAAGCAATTTGACTTTGTTAACTTTTATTAGTGCTCCATATGTGGTACGACTTGATGTTACAAACAGGTATTAAGCTTTATGTTAATAAAAATTGAGAAAGTATGACTGAATGATGTAAACCGAACGATACAGTTGTCTTTTTAAGTCAGAAATTACTCAAGAAACTAATAGCATAATGAATTCTTAACTAAATATATATGAATGGTTATAACGTTATATTTTGTGCTATGACATCGAACCATTTAACAATAATTTTCCTCCTATGTCCATATAAGGCATATCATATAAGGAACCAAATCAGACAAGGAGTGGTGATAATTATTATTCTTGTAAAAGACAATAACAAATTATAGGTAATTATAGGATTTATTTGGCGAATGAAGAAAATTTAAATTATAACAAAAAGCATTTCGATATAACAAAAACCAAATTATAATTTCATTGCTTACAAGGAACCCTCTAGGCGAATAGTTCGTACATGTTATTTCAAACTTCTCTCCACATAAGAATGTCACTTCTGTATATTTAAAAGTAATAAACGATCATACAATTCATGGAGATAATTGTCACTTTTAAGCGCCACTTTTGGACTACTTCATTGCGGTCAGTTTTTATGGGTGGAGGAAGCCGGAGTGCTTAATGTGCTGAAAATTTTCTGGATGTTCATTGTTTAGCAGTAAGACTTCCTGATATACTGAAATTTAACAGTAACAGAGTCATTACAGTAAACGTGTATGTGTTCTATCTTAGTTACGAATATACATTTTATTAATCCCAATTAGACTCCTTCGTCCAAACTAAAAAAGAATGTTTAATACCAAATGGCTCATCGTGCATTGTTAATGTACCAGATCACATGTTTCTGATATCAGTTCAAGAATTTACAGGCGAACCAGAGAAAGTGAACATACTATCATAGTGTAAGATCTTTCAAGATTATGCTTGAATGTTATGTATACAAATCAGACATGACATTATATTTAATTGTTAAAGTAATACAGATAATTTTTAGAATCCTATAATAGAAAAACGAATGCTTTTTGTCTGGTCATAGATATTTTTCTATTTTCGTTCATTTACATATTGAAAACATTCTCAGTATTAAAATAAGAGAGTTAAACCAGTAGTATTAATCAGTTTTGCTTGACTTTGAACAGGCTTTTATTACCTGCCAATTATTTTGAATCAGTAATGTGAATATTGATTTGAAATGTCGGTTGTTGTGTGTTTTGTGTCACTCTTCTGTTTATGTTTGTTCCTATTTCCTACTATAACACATTCGTTTCGTATAAGGGCGAGAGTTGATCGCTTTCAAAACACATTTGGGCTAAACCTATCCTCCAAGTGGTTATTCAAAATAGAGAACCCTTATTTAGAAGTTGTCGTTTGTTTACTGTCTGTCGTATGTGTTTCTGTAATTAAATACACCGCCGATGCATGTTAATAGCTATTACGTACTTGGATATAATACGGTTACAACACTTTCGGAATTAAAAAAGTTATGTAGTTACAACTTTACTAGACGTGGTACATATCGACGCTAAATGAAACTGAAATGTATAGACGCGTATGAAGATGTCCATCTATTTTCAAGTATACGATTTAATGTACTCTGTGGTATAATAAGGTAATTCTGTTTAAGGTGGCTGGGTGGTATAAATATCTAATATAGGATTTGGCTAATTTTTTTTATAAATGAACTTTATCATATGTTAAGTGGAAAAGTAAAATAAAAAAATGGGTTCACCGTCTAGTTAATTGTTTTTGAAGGATTCAAGTTTACTGGTTTTCATTTAAGATTACTATAGAAATGATAGGGAAATGAATGCAAAGCTACCTTTTTTGAAGAATTTCGCATGAAACCTAATATAGGATTTTTTAATGTTTGTGTTTTTTCTGTTGCTGAAATAGTCTTTCTAAATAATAAAAAATAAAATCAACAAGTCACCGTCTAGTTAAGACAAAAAATGAATATTATTAAAAATAATGGTCATTTTTTCAATGGGGGAGATAACTCTGTCTTTTACAATTTTTTTCTAATCATTTGGAACCATATATAACAGACCTGGTTATAGAAACTTGTTATACCTTCTATACATGTAAGACCATATATAGTATTATATAACATTTTCAAACAATTGCAGTTGATTTGCATATTGGTTGCCATGGCAACCATCAGTCAAAATGGAAAATCACTAATTTTTGGCAAATTTTTTAATGTTCAGTTCAAATTCAAGACCATACAATTTGAAAAATGAGCAGACAGTATCAATCATAATAAGAGGTGTGTTTGTTTTAAGAACCTGCATGGGCAAATAGTTCTTAGTTTGTCTGAAGTTCTCTTGCTGAATACCACTGGTTTCAGTGGATAATATTAGCTATTCTCGCTTGATTGTAATGAAACTTGGACAGCTGAAAAGTAAAGGCAGTGCTTACTTACTTATGGGTTTTTTAATGACCGTGACTGGCTATGAAGCCCTGGCACAGTCGGTCATAATGGCAGTTGGAAGGAGACTGTTGATTTAATAGTAAATAGTTGAAAAGGTCAATGTCACTGTTACTAAAAATAGAAATGTAGGAACACTGATATCTTAATGTAACTAGATGTCTTTTGCATTACATATACTAGTGAAAGGTATTAAGAAGTGGATTTCGTCTATTGCATATTGGGTCAGTCTGTTAAAGAATAATGTTAGGAAAAAGATACATAATACACCAATAAGCACATTCATATAAGTTAAAGTCTTCATTTTGTTGCAATGCATACTATTTCAATTACTACACCATTCTAGTAATGTAGTACTCCAACAGTTTTTTAATGGGTCAAGGGATCATCTGTTGCAGATTTCTATTATACTGACTTTTTTTAAAACAAGAGTGCACACGCTGAAATGTCTCGTCTTCTTTATTAATCATTGATATTATGTTGATAGTCCTAAATATAAAGCTTTACTACAACTATCACATAAACTTAACATGATCCAAGAAAATGAGGTCAAGGTCATATAAACCAAACAAGAAATACATGTACACCTTTCAATACACTAAATATAGTTGACCTATTGCTTATTGTTTCTAAGAAACAGACTTAACCAAGAAAACTAATTATTGACCAATGAACCATGAAAATGAGGTCAAGGTCAGATGGACCATGCCAGGCAGACATAGTTGACCTATAGCTATTGCTTATAGTTTAAGAAAAACAGACCAAAACACAAAAACTTAACTATAACCACTGAACCATGAAAATGAGGTCAAGGTCAGTTGACACCTGCCAGTTGGACATGTACACCTTACAGTCTTTCCATACACCGAATATACTAGACCTATTGCTTATAGTATCTGAGATATGGACTTGACCACCAAAACTTAACCTTGTTCACTGATCCATGAAATGAGGTCGAGGTCAAATGAAAACTTTCTGACGGGCATGAGGACCTTTCAAGGTACGCACATACCAAATATATCCTATTACTCATAATAAGAGAGAAATTAACATTACAAAAAATCTTAACTTTTTTTTCAAGGAGTCACTGAACCATGAAAATGAGGTCAAGGACAATGTACATGTGACAGACGGAAACTTCGTAACATAAGGCATCTATATACAAAGTATGAAGCATCAAGGTCTTCCACCTAAAATATTAAGCTTTTAAGAAGTAAGTTAACACCGCCGTTGCCGCCGACGCCGCGGATCACTATCCCTATGTCGAGATTTCTGCGATAAAAATCTCAGGGTCGACAAAAAACCTAGAGACTCACTCAGACACCTGACTTACACTGATTATTCAGTTTACAAGACAATATATCATCTGCAATAAAGGCCACACCCCAGGGACCTCCACCATTAGTATTCCAATTTTGATGAAACTTTGCAAGCAGGTAGAACTTGTAATACTGATCCTTTATGCAATTTTTGTTGTTAGTGGCATTGAACTAGCTGTCAGTAACTGCGAGTACTCTCAGATCAGTAATAAGTGTCTTTTTGTTGTTGGGATATACAAGTAACCGACCACGTTCACTTTGTGTTTTTGTAGGATGTATTTCTATTTGTAACCATCTTTTGAGTTAAGCCTTTTTCAACTGATTTTTATAGTTCGTTCTTATGTCGTGCTGTTACACCACTATCCTAGGTTAGGGGGGGGGGGGGGGGGGGGGGGGGGTTGTGATCCCGCTAATATGTTTAACCCCGCCACATTCTGTATCTTTGTGCCTGTCCCAAGTCAGGAGCCTGTAATTCAGTGGTTGTCGTTTGTTGATGTGTTACATATTTGTTTTTCGTTTATTTTTTGTACATAAATTAGGCCGTTAGTTTTCTCGTTTGAATTATTTGACATTTGTCATTTCAGGGCCTTTTATAGCTGACTATGCGGTATGTGCTTTGCTCATTGTTGAAGGCCGTACGGTGACCTATAGTTGTTAATTTCTGTGTCATTTGGTCTCTTGTGGAGAGTTGTCTCATTGGCAATCATACAACATCTTCTTTTTTATATATATATAGTTAAACAGAAGTTGTCCATCTGAAAAATCTACAGTCGTCATCATGATCTTATTGACTGCTATGAATTATCTGTTTCCAAAATGACTAATGAGCTAATCTTGTCATAGATGTTTTCTCCTTGCCGTACATGACCTTCATTGATCAGCACGACATGTGTCTTGCAAAAAACAGGAACTGCTCATCCTTCCAGAGCATCTAACTTAGAGACTGGTATGTCCCCTACCACTGGCATATTGGATGAGCAAATATATAGTTTTTGGTTAGAGACTGGTATGTCCCCAAACTCTGGCATGTTGGATGAGCAAATATATAGTTTTGTGTTTGAGACTGGTATGTCCCCTACCTATGGCATGTTGGATGAGCAAAAATGTTTTTGGTAAGAGACTGGTATGTACCCTACCACTGACATGTTGGATGAGCAAAAAAGGTTTTGGTTAGAGACTGGTATGTCCCCTACCACTGGCATGTTGGATGAGCAAAAATATAGTTTTTAGTTAGAGACTGGTATGTCCCCTACCTCTGGCATGTTGGATGAGCAAATATATAGTTTTTGGTTAGGGACTGGTATGTCCCCTACCACTGGCATGTTGGATAAGCAAATATATAGATTTTGGTAAAAGACTGGTATGTCCCCTACCTCTGGCATGTTGGATGAGCAAAAATGTTTTTGGTTAGAGACTGGTATGTCCCCTACCACTGGCATGTTGGATGAGCAAATATATAGTTTTTGGTTAGACTGGTATGTCCCCTACCTCTGGCATGTTGGATGAGCAAAAATGTTTTTGGTTAGAGACTGGTATGTCCCCTACCACTGGCATCTTGGATGGGCAAATATATAGTTTTTGGTTAGAGACTGGTATGTCCCCTACCTCTGGCATGTTGGATGAGCAAATATATAGATTTTGGTTAGAGACTGGTATGTTCCCTACCTCTAACATGTTGGATGAGCAAAAATGTTTTTGGTTAGAGACTGGTATGTCCCCTACCACTGGCATGTTGGATGAGCAAATATATAGTTTTTGGTTAGACTGGTATGTCCCCTACCTCTGGCATGTTGGATGAGCAAAAATGTTTTTGGTTAGAGACTGGTATGTCCCCTACCACTGACATGTTGGATGAACAAAAATGTTTTTGGTTAGAGACTGGTATGTCCCCTACAACTGGCATGTTGGATGAGCAAATATATAGTTTTTGGTTAGAGACTGGTATGTCCCCTACCACTGACATGTTGGATGAGCAAAAATGTTGTATTTGGTAAGAGACTGGTATGTCCCCTACCACTGGCATGTTGGATGAGCAAATATATAGTTTTTGGTTAGAGACTGGTATGTCCCCTACCACTGGCATGTTGGATGAGCAAATATATAGTTTTTGGTTAGAGACTGGTATGTCCCCTACCACTGACATGTTGGATGAGCAAAAATGTTTTTTGGTTAGAGACTGGTATGTCCCCTACCACTGGCATGTTGGATGAGCAAAAATGTTTTTGGTTAGAGACTGGTATGTCCCCTACCTCTGGCATGTTAGGATGAGCAAAAATGTTTTTGGTTAGAGACTGGTATGTCCCCTACCTCTGGCATGTTGGATGAGCAAAAATGTTTTTGGCTAGGGACTGGTATGTCCCCTACCACTGGCATGTTGGATGAGCAAATATATAGTTTTTGGTTAGAGACTGGTATGTCCCCTACCTCTGGCATGTTGGGATGAGCAAAAATGTTTTTGGTTAGAGACTGGTATGTCCCCTACCTCTGGCATGTTGGATGAGCAAAAATGTTTTTTGTTAGAAACTGGTATGTCCCCTACCACTGGCATGTTGGATGAGCAAATATATAGATTTTGGTTAGAGACTGGTATGTCCCCTACCTCTAACATGTTGGATGAGCAAAAATGTTTTTTGGTTAGAGACTGGTATGTCCCCTACCACTGGCATGTTGGATGAGCAAATATATAGTTTTTGGTTAGACTGGTATGTCCCCTACCTCTGGCATGTTGGATGAGCAAAAATGTTTTTGGTTAGAGACTGGTATGTCCCCTACCACTGACATGTTGGATGAGCAAAAATGTTTTTGGTTAGAGACTGGTATGTCCCCTACCACTGGCATGTTGGATGAGCAAATATATAGTTTTTGGTTAGAGACTGGTATGTCCCCTACCACTGACATGTTGGATGAGCAAAAATAATGTATTTGGTAAGAGACTGGTATGTCCCCTACCACTGGCATGTTGGATGAGCAAATATATAGTTTTTGGTTAGAGACTGGTATGTCCCCTACCACTGACATGTTGGATGAGCAAAAATGTTTTTTGGTTAGAGACTGGTATGTCCCCTACCACTGGCATGTTGGATGAGCAAAAATGTTTTTGGTTAGAGACTGGTATGTCCCCTACCTCTGGCATGTTGGGATGAGCAAAAATGTTTTTGGTTAGAGACTGGTATGTCCCCTACCTCTGGCATGTTGGATGAGCAAAAATGTTTTTGGCTAGAGACTGGTATGTCCCCTACCACTGGCATGTTGGATGAGCAAATATATAGTTTTTGGTTAGAGACTGGTATGTCCCCTACCTCTGGCATGTTGGATGAGCAAAAATGTTTTTTGTTAGAAACTGGTATGTCCCCTACCACTGGCATGTTGGATGAGCAAATATATAGTTTTTGGTTAGAATGGTATGTCCCCTACCTCTGGCATGTTGGATGAGCAAAAACGTTTTTGGTTAGAGACTGGTATGTCCCCTACCTTTGGCAAGTTGGATGAGCAAAAATGTTTTTGGTTAGAGACTGGTATGTCCCCTACCACTGGCATGTTGGATGAGCAAATATATAGTTTTTGGTTAGACTGGTATGTCCCCTACCTCTGGTATGTGCGATGAGCAAAAATGTTTTTGGTTAGAGACTGGTATGTCCCCTACCACTGGCATGTTGGATGAGCAAATATATAGTTTTTGGTTAGACTGGTATGTCCCCAACCTCTGGCATGTTGGATGAGCAAAAACGTTTTTGGTTAGAGACTGGTATGTCCCCTACCTTTGGCATGTTGGATGAGCAAAAATGTTTTTGGTTAGAGACTGGTATGTCCCCTACCACTGGCATGTTGGATGAGCAATTATATAGTTTTTGGTTAGACTGGTATGTCCCCTACCTCTGGCATGTTGGATGAGCAAAAATGTTTTTGGTTAGAGACTGGTATGTCCCCTACCACTGGCATGTTGGATGAGCAAAAATGTTGTTTTTGGTTAGAGACTGGTATGTCCCCTACCACTGGCATGTTGGATGAGCAAATATATAGTTTTTGGTTAGAGACTGGTATGTCCCCTACCACTGACATGTTGGATGAGCAAAAATGTTTTTTGGTTAGAGACTGGTATGTCCCCTACCACTGGCATGTTGGATGAGCAAATATATAGTTTTTGGTTAGACTGGTATGTCCCCTACCTCTGGCATGTTGGATGAGCAAAAATGTTTTTGGTAAGAGACTGGTATGTACCCTACCACTGACATGTTGGATGAGCAAAAATGTTTTTGGTTAGAGACTGGTATGTCCCCTACCACTGGCATGTTGGATGAGCAAATATATAGTTTTTGGTTAGCGACTGGTATGTCCCCTACCACTGACATGTTGGATGAGCAAAAATGTTGTATTTGGTAAGAGACTGGTATGTCCCCTACCACTGGCATGTTGGATGAGCAAATATATAGTTTTTGGTTAGAGACTGGTATGTCCCCTACCACTGACATGTTGGATGAGCAAAAATGTTTTTTGGTTAGAGACTGGTATGTCCCCTACCACTGGCATGTTGTATGAGCAAAAATGTTTTTGGTTAGAGACTGGTATGTCCCCTACCTCTGGCATGTTGGGATGAGCAAAAATGTTTTTGGTTAGAGACTGGTATGTCCCCTACCTCTGGCATGTTGGATGAGCAAAAATGTTTTTGGTTAGAGACTGGTATGTCCCCTACCACTGGCATGTTGGATGAGCAAATATATAGTTTTTGGTTAGAGACTGGTATGTCCCCTATCTCTGGCATGTTGGGATGAGCAAAAATGATTTTGGTTAGAGACTGGTATGTCCCCTACCTCTGGCATGTTGGATGAGCAAAAATGTTTTTTGTTAGAAACTGGTATGTCCCCTACCACTGGCATGTTGGATGAGCAAATATATCGTTTTTGGTTAGAATGGTATGTCCCCTACCTCTGGCATGTTGGGATGAGCAAATATATAGTTTTTGGTTAGAGACTGGTATGTCCCCAACCTCTGGCATGTTGGATGAGCAAAAATGTTTTTGGTTAGAGACTGGTATGTCCCCTACCACTGGCATGTTGGATGAGCAAATATATAGTTTTTGGTTAGAGACTGGTATGTCCCCTACCACTGACATGTTGGATGAGCAAAAATGTTGTTTTTGGTTAGAGACTGGTATGTCCCCTACCACTGGCATGTTGGATGAGCAAATATATAGTATTTGGTTAGAGACTGGTATGTCCCCTACCACTGACATGTTGGATGAGCAAAAATGTTGTTTTTGGTTAGAGACTGGTATGTCCCCTACCACTGGCATGTTGGATGAGCAAAAATGTTTTTGGTTAGAGACTGGTATGTCCCCTACCACTGGCATGTTGGATGAGCAAATATATAGTTTTTGGTTAGAGACTGGTATGTCCCCTACCACTGGCATGTTGGATGAGCAAATATATAGTTTTTGGTTAGAGACTGGTATGTCCCCTACCACTGACATGTTGGATGAGCAAAAATGTTGTTTTTGGTTAAAGACTGGTATGTCCCCTACCACTGGCATGTTGGATGAGCAAAAATGTTTTTGGTTAGAGACTGGTATGTCCCCTACCACTGACATGTTGGATGAGCAAAAATGTTTTTGGTTAGAGACTGGTATGTCCCCTACCACTGGCATGTTGGATGAGCAAATATATAGTTTTTGGTTAGAGACTGGTATGTCTCCTACCACTGACATGTTGGATGAGCAAAAATGTTGTTTTTGGTTAGAGACTGGTATGTCCCCTACCACTGGCATGTTGGATGAGCAAAAATGTTTTTGGTTAGAGACTGGTATGTCCCCTACCACTGGCATGTTGGATGAGCAAATATATAGTTTTTGGTTAGAGACTGGTATGTCCCCTACCTCTGGCATGTTGGATGAGCAAATATATAGTTTTTGGTTAGAGTCTGGTATGTCCCCTACCTCTGGCATGTTGGATGAGCAAAAATGTTTTTGGTTAGAGACTGGTATGTCCCCTAACACTGACATGTTGGATGAGCAAATATATTGTTATTAAGCCAATCACTTAAAATTTAAAAATATATAAAAAAAAAGAAATTTATCAGTGTAAGTTGGAACTCGCCCAAGCCACCTTAAGTTTCACGGGTCAAAAAGTCATATAGCTTCTGAATAACCTTTTTACAGCTGGTAACAGGCACTTTTCCTTGAATTGTAAGTTCTGACAACAATGCACGTAATCCATCTATTCCATTTCTTTCAATGGACAACTTTAAATGAGACAACCTTAAATTTGAATGTGCAGCTTTCAAGGCTGTTGCTTTAGATACAGCTTTACAGTTAATAGCCTCACTAAAAGTTTTCAAATTATCTTGCTGAATGTGACAGTTATGTGGATAGTTAGGAGAAAAAATAAAACCTGTGATGTTATCAGATATAACATTTCCTTGTGATGTACAAGTAACTAATCTAAACAACAATCTAGTGTCCTCTAGGGCATTATGAGCAGCATAGGTTTCATCAAGAAGTGTGTCAACAAGACTAGTCTGACTATAAGAAGCTAGTCCAGGAACAACATGTTTAAATACATCTAAACTATCCACAAATCCAATAATATGGCTACAAAACTCTGAGTACATGTTATAAAATCTTAATGCATTGTATAAAATATGACAGTCAAATCTTTTTATATTATGACCAACAAGAATTGGTTTGCATGAAAATTCTGACAGAAATGTAATAAAATCAGTAAGAGCTTGATGTGGATATTTAAAGTTGACTGGTTTTGAATTGTACAGCATATTGTTTCCACACACTGTGATCTTTGTAATGTTGGTGGCTTCCTTTGATATTGGTTGGCTTGGCAAGATGTATGTATCAAAAGTGCTGTCCTTTGAATAAGCTGCAAGTTGTATAATATCAGATGATCTACCTGAAAAAAGAAATTATAATGCAATAGGTCCTATTACAGGATTGATTTAGGGGTTGGATAAACTTTTGCTTTATACAGTCAATGACTGCATAAAGTCTCCTGGCACCCTTGGCTTCAACCTTCAAGCTATAAAAAGCAAAACAGTCTCGGTCCCTGAAATCATTATTGCTGCATAACAATGTTATTTTGCTTGTGAAATTATATGCAAGAGAAGTTGGCATCATAATTTACTATGCATATATGAAACACATGTTTCTGCTTTATTTGTGTAATTTTTGAAATATTTTAAATGCAGTATAAAAACAACATGCATTTGGTAAATCTTAAAGCCCGTACCAATCAATTTTGTATTTGCCTATAAGAAATGTATAGTGTCTCATTTTCAAACTATCACCAGCGTTTTTGGGCTTTAGTATTAAAATAATATTGTGAAATTATAATAGCATAAAAGAGTACCAAAAAATCAATCTAAGGGGTTCAGAGGCTTGAAAGTATTTTCTAATCATATAAATGATGATGGAATGTGTAACAATTTTACATACATTAATATATATGGTATATAAAATTATATGGGCATATGTCAGCGTACATTCAGTCAACATTGAAATTTAGAATATTGCAATCAATTGGGTCTCAAATTCCTAAAAATAAGGTCCAGGTCATTAAATATCTTAAACTTGAGACGGACATACAATTACTTTTACAGCAATACAATACAAGACTACCATCCAACAACCTATATTTTAGCCTTTTTCTATTCATTTTATGGTCATAAAAAAAGAAAGTTAAAACTTACTAAGTCCTGTGGTTTCCAAGTCAAACACCAACAAAGGTGCAACTGTCATTGCTTCTTTGTCAACTTCGCCAATCTCCATAACTTCAGGAATTTCTTCTTGATCTGGATGTTCAATTCCTAGTACATGTACAAAAATTGTATGCATGAAGTTTAAAATTTATCAAACGATAACATGACATGGAATTGTATGATTGATGACATCAGAGATACTTACACATGCAAATTTTACCTGCAGTTTCTTAACTTTTATTGTGGTTTCATAAATTTGAACATTTTATCCAATAAAGTAAAAAGACAGTTGTATTATGAAATAACACAATATTGCCATGTGAAAATTTTCTAACCATTTGATGGTGAGGAATAGCAACAGTAAGGTTCTACTGAATTTTTACCACAGAAAATGCTAACTGATACTTTTTTTTTTTATTTTTAAAAAAATTTTCAAATAAATTAATAAATGTATCTACTAAATTATGTAGGATTAGATATCGATCTTATGAATATAATAATGTAAGTGAAAGAACTCAAAACATATATTACACTATCTATTAGTAAAAGCAAGTCCAATTTAGAAAAATTGCATCCAAACAATGATATGAGAAGAAAGACAATGTACATGTATGTGTAAATTTACATGTACTTGTTCTGTGGTAGATGATACAAAGAAAAGCTCAGTATAAAAAATAATCACCTATTTCACTTTCGTAAGTTTTTCCTTCTCTGACTTCCATTCCAGAATTCTTGGAAGTTCTTTTCTTCTTCAGAAGCAGACGTTGTTTTTTCCCCTCTTTTGTCTTCGAAACGGTTGACTTTCTGTCTCTCTTTCTGTTCAATTTCAATGATCTTTTAACTGTTTCACCACCAGGTGATAATCCAGATGATTCATGTACCTGTAATAAGTTTAACATTTAGCAGTTGATGGAAATGGGGAAAACATTTAGGGGATAAGCCAGTCTGATATGATACAACTACAGCATATTAGTAATTATAGAATAGACAGAAGAGTAGACATTCTTAGCCTTATAACATCACTGCTTTAATTTGAAAGCAGGGAGGTAAAAACTATGTATTATGAATTTACACTTATTTGGGAACCTTGCCAGTTATTTTTGTGTTTTCATGTCTAATTGTCTTTTTGGTAATTTAATTGTTATTGAAGATCTTTGGTTTTCTTTAAATCATTCACAATTTTTTAAGAATCTTAGTGATTAACAGCTTGCTATACACATCTTGTAGAGACTTTTTCATTGTTGAATGTCTTATAGTTAGGTATATATGTATATATATGTGTCATTTTCTGTGTTGCTGTTTTGTTAACATTTACACCAAATTTGCTTTTGTACATAATATAAACCTTATTTTACACTAACCTCAGACACATAGCCATAGCCTTCATTTTTCTGCAGTACTGCTGAACTCACTCTGTAGCTTAAGCTGGATGAGGCCGAGTAATGTTTGTATTTTGGTGCTTTAGTAGCTATGGTCATATTCAAACTCTCATTAGCTTGTGAGCTTGCTAGATTCGCCAGTTTCTTTGAGTTTGGCACCAATTTGTCCAGGAACAATTTTTCTAGATCGGACTTCAGGTCTAAAGATTTTAAGTCTTTTCCATGAGGAAGACTAGAATGTTTATAGGTGCTTTTGTCTTTTAAATAGCCACACCAACTTTGCATACAGTGTGCATGTTCACCAAAAATGTGATCAATTGAAGCCCTTAATCCATTTTCTATTCCAGCTTGGTTTCCTTTGTTTTGGTCCAACATATAAGCAAAGTTTCTGGTAATAGCATTAATCACCATCACAGATAATTCCTTATGTTTTGGCTTCAAGCTATACAGTTTATTAACTATATTTTTGGTTACATGGTTACGATCACTGGTTTTAACCATTTGTAAATCTGGCATTTCTTTCATGGCTCTATTGTATCCAGTAGAATCATCATCCCCAGCAAGTTCAGATATTGGGACATTTTGTTCATTTAAATCTCTGATCATCTGGACAACCATGTCAGGCTCCATAGCTTTTGCTGATCCAGTCCAGTTTTTAGTACACTTGTGTTTTCTTGGAACTTCTCCTTTTCTATTAGCAATGGTACATACTCTACAATCCCCAGATCTCATGGTATGATGCAATACTTTTCCAGTCTTTTGCCCGATTAGTGATGCCACTCCTGAAATCAAAATAGCAGTTGCTGATATATGTAAATAATCAAAGTCACTTGACTGTAACAAAGAAGTGGGACCATATCAAATTGTTAAAATCAGTAAGGAGAAACTCAAATTTCTTCGAAAGACGACACAGACATCACCATAACATTATATGATTGTACAAATTTTGCAGTCATATGAAAAAACAAAATATGGATGATGGCATTGATGCCCCAGTTTATCTGCCTCATGCATGAGTATTCACAGATTTTGATAAATAATGATGCAGAACTTTTCATTTCTTTTTTTTTAGTTTCTTTAAAGAAGTTTTTTCTGTAATAGGAAACAAATGATGCACAGGGCCTTACCATAAGAAATCCAAATCAGGGGCATTAATATATGCCTCTCTTTATCACATATTTGATGAAAATCAAAATCCTATGCACATCCTTCATTTTCATGATCATGTGTAAAAACAAATTTTAAAATCCTAAAGCTGTTGTTCTAAAACTGTAGAAGGAGGTAACTGGACAAACCATGTTCACTTGATGTAGCTAGTACAAAAAAGTACAAAAGTCCAACTATCTGTCATGTGAGAATATTTGTTTGAATATGAATTATAGTTCCTGAATCAAATGTGAATGAAGCCAAAAAAAAGGCTTGCTAGCTAGTCATTTTGAATGAGGGTCAGAATGGAGTTTACAGAATGGAGAATGATGGGCAAAATTTGCAGAATAGAGAAAAATAAGGCAAAATACATGTAAATGGATATCTTCACTTGTATATACATGTATGCACGAGTCAACTTCCACATACAGATGCATGATTCATGTAGTTAAGGTTTTGTTATTATAAGAATTGTGTATAAGTTTCATGACTTTTGGTTGAGGCAAACTGAAGTTGGAGAACTGAATACAAAAATTCAGCAATTTTAATATTTATAAAAGGGGCATAATTCGTGAATTGTAAAAGTGACGCTACCCAAATTCAAACTTGATCTGTGTTTCGTGGTAATAAGCATTGTGTATAAGTTTTATAATATTTGGTTGAGGCAAACTAAAGGACGGACAGGACGGACAAGGGTAGCACTTAACGACCCCTCCGCTACAGTGGGGACATATACATAAAGAATAGAGAATATTGGGGTGGTAAAATAAAGAATAGAGAAAAAATGACCTAAATATTAAAGAATACAGAAATAAAGGACCCCCATCCATACCCTTTTGAGCTTAAGGTGGCTGGAGCGTCTTAATTAAAATTGACAGAAGTTTTTAATAATTTGTCAAAATGAAGTTTTTATCATGCTTTTTTTCAAAAATATAATAAAAAGTATGGGTCACGCTACAGGTTGTGCAAAATTGTCAGATTTTGTATAGATTATGCATGGAAAATCAAATTTTGTGTGATAAAAAGAAAACTACCTGATAGAATTTTAAGATATAATGTGAGGTGATAGCTCTTATAACATGCTTTCAGATAAGAAAAAGAAAAATGGGGTCACCGAACTTGTTTTCTTGCTACAGATTAAAATAGGTAAATTCACAACACTTTGTATTATAAATATTACTTTATCTGAGTTATCTCCCCTTATTTGGCAAAGTTGAAAAAAAATGAATCAAACACAAATAAGGTGTTTTTGAGAAATTGCAGCCGTAATTATGATAAAACACACATTTTTTATATTTACATCAAAAGTCTTACACATAAATTACATACTACTCTCAAAATTTGCACATTTCATCAAAGATCTAGACCAACGTTATCTGCTTCTTCAAAATCCAAGATGGAGGAAGACACCCGAGCCACCTTAATGTATTAGGGGCCAGTACCCGTTCGTATATATATTTTCATATGCATCTAGACAAAGATTTTTTAGTCAACATTATACAGACAAAGAAATTCCATGCCCCCTTTAGAATATATTTTTGTATATAATAGAATCAAACTGTATTTACAGGCATACTATAGTAATTTGTTTGATCAAAACAAACCTGATAAACTGTTATATGCTCTTCCTGAACCCTTCTTCTGCCAGCATGTATCTGTTGAGGCATTTATACCCTTTTGTTGTTGACTATCTGAAAAGAAATGAGCCAATTTAAATTCCTAAATTAAAAATGCAGTTTTCAGAAATAATGTCAAGTTTTAATTTAGTAACATGAACATTTTGATTGCTGCTAATTAGGAAATAACAGTATTGTATTTAAAGATTTGCAGGTATGATAATTGTTGATTTAATGGTCACCTATCGAGTTAACTGATGATGCATTACAGAGCCTTAATAACTTTTAACTTCAGCACAAGATGTTGTCAGACAGATACAGTCTGCACCATAAAATCTTTTCCGACTTCTAGCCTGAAGACCAATATTCAACATTCTTATGTGGCTTAAAACAAAGTTTTGCAAGAACTAACTAGTCAAAATTAAATTTTACTAGTCTGGGGCATCAGATTAGAAGCTAACGTTGCAGACTGTTAGATTTACAGAGGAAATGTGATATATATATAGAATAAAAGTTGCTTTTGTTTTAGAAAAAAAAAGGTTTGAGGTTTTATGAAGTGTAAGCTGTAAAAGTACATGTATGTTATATCATATACTGTAACCAGTTTATAAGTTAAAAACAATCCTTATATATACTCCCATATAATAAAAAAAAATGAGTTACTCCTGACAAATGTTTTTATTCACTTTTTTCCTCCACGCAGTTGAATGTTGTATATTTAAAGGAAATGCTTTCCGAGTAAATTCATGTTATTTTATCTATTGCCCAAAAAAAATGCATTAAAAAACATATATTCTCCTTTTATTTTCAATAAGATTACAGTTCTAACTTTAACTTTCATAGTAAGTATAGCCAGGGATCTCCATGGATGAAAATTTAATGATGGAGGAACTCTGACCAGAACAAAACCATAGTAAAAGCTGCATTTATTTTATATATTTGTGTGGTCTAACCTTCATCAAGTGTTATTGCTTCAATGGCTTCCTCTAATAAAAAATTCTTTTCTGAGGCCTCTGCATTGCTTTCAAGGACTTCTCCAATTTCCATTTCTCTTTCCTTTAGGGTCTTTGGGTTAATACAATGGATGTTCATTGCTGCAAGTAGGTTGTTCAGTTGGGTTTCCCCAATTCCAGCATGGATCATCCCTGAAATTTTTAAAGTAAAACATGCATATAGTTACGATACTGTTGTCAGGTCATTAAAGATTGCATATTTTGGCTTTAATATTGATTCACTTATAGGGTCTTTGCATCGGAATTAAACATATTTATTCTAAAACCAGTTGTTGGCATGACACGGGTTGTGTTCTTCTCATATATTTTATGACGGTATAATACTAAACCCCTAACAGGAGGGATTGTGCCTGATATTCATATGATGAAGACATAATCTTTCAATCAGTTTAATTGAGGTCTGGAGCTGGCATGTCAGTAACTGCTAGTAGTCTGTTGTTATTTATGTATTATTGTCATTTTGTTTAATTTCTTTTGTTTCCTATTCTGACATCGGACTCGGACTTCTCTTAAACTGAGTTTTACTGTGCGTACTGTTGTACGTTTGTTTTTTCTACATTGGCTAGAGGTATAGGGGGAGGGTTGAGATCTCAAAAAACATGTTTAACTCCGCCGCATTTTTGCGCCTGTCCCAAGTCAGGAGCCTCTGGCCTTTGTTAGTCTTGTATCATTTTTAATTTTAGTTTCTTGTGTATAATATGGAGTTTAGTATGACGTCCATTATCACTGAACTAGTATACATATTTGTTTAGGGGCCAGCTGAAGGACGCCTCCGGGTGCGGTAGTTTCTCGCTGCATTGAAGACCCATTGGTGGCCTTCGGCTGTTGTCTGCTCTATGGTCGGGTTGTTGTCTCTTTGACACATTCCCCATTTCCATTCTCAATTTTATCTATATCTATATAAACAAATACACTATACATTATTCATGGACATTGGTTATTGTCGAAAAATATACAATTTATTTGTGCAAACATTAGAAAAAGGCTTGATGATTGCAAGATATACATGTACATATAATTAGAGGTTCCCATGAGAATGCAATGCTCACCTGGAAACCTAGACTTGATACCTTATTGGTATGATATATATGTTCTGCTGATCTTTTTTTAATGTATGCTTGATAGAACTGCTCCAGATTTAGTTATGACATTTTGAGAGGCAATAACTCCTAAATTGGTCTTATGATTTTCATGAAAATTTTATGGAGGCAAATAATGTATAGTGGATTGGCCAGAACTGTTTTTTGATGAAAGAAAATCATTCTATAAATTTTGTCAGATTGTAAGAAAATTTTTTTGCAGGCACAAAAACTTATTTTATAAAAAAATATGATTTTAATGTTACATTTATATAGCTTATTACATGTATCAGTATTCGATCTTTTACAGATCTTAATTATAAGACTTCTGTTGAGTAAAAAGAAGAAAATATCATTTTTAATATATTATCCAGTTTCTCAAGATAATTTTGTGCAATGAAACATATTGAAGCTTGAAATTCCATATGCATCTTCAAGTTTTTTTTGTAGATATTGACCATTCTGATGACTGAACTTGATAACAAAATGCACACTGAGCCTTGAAAACACCTTTTTTTCCATTTTTTTTTAGTGAAAAAAACTGAGCTTTACTCCATCTTTAATAAACTCCTATAGTGTGTAATAAGCATTTTCAAGCTTCTCATGGGGTGCACAGATAAAATCTCAATTTTCAAAAAAAATAATTGAAAGAATAGTAAATACAAATATATCACCCTCCATTAATGTTGAATACATATATATATATGTACATTAGTATCATTGCAATAAAAGAAATATGTACAGATTTGGACAAAAAGAGCCTTCTTTTAGTGGTCAATATTGAAACTAGAGGCTCTAAAGAGCGGGTGTTGCTCACCTTGGTCTATGTGCATATTCAACAAAGGACACTCTCCAACATTGTAGATGAGAATAGAATTCATGACAAAAATCTCAGTTTTGTTGATCTTATAATGCTGATCATTTATTCATTTTAGTTTCTCTCTATCTTCTTTAGTTTTTGCTCAAAACACAAAAGAGAGGTAAAGAAATCATCATTTTAGGGGATGGGCAATCACTCCTATAAAAAGTGACAGCATACTACCTATATCAAGAATGTGACTTGTTAGTAGATCTTATCTGTTGCTGATAATTTTTGTGATTTAAACTGTCTATTCTTCTATTATTTTTGCTTATTTATGTTTCTATCTATCTATTATAATTTCTAAGATATAAGGCAGTAACACAAAAACATGGCAAAAATCATCATCAAAGGGCAATAACTCTAATAAGGAGTCGGCTGACGATTTCGACAATGCAATCTTATTTGTAGAACTTGTCATGCTGCTCATTTTTGAAATTTAATATTTCTCTGTATCTATTATAATTTTCAAGATAGTTTGCAAAAATTTAAAAAATGGTAAAATTTGTCATGTAAGGGCAATAACTCCATAAGAAGTCGTCTGACAATTTTGACAAATAAGAACAAAAGGTAGTGCTCAACATTCTAAACATTTTTGCTCATGTCAGATTTTCTCTATTCATAACAGTTTTCGAAATAATAGACAAAACTTGCATTTTTAACCATATGTTCTATTTTGAGCCATGTTGGTTGGCAAGCAGGGTAATCTGACACAATTTTTAAACTAGATACCCCAATATTAATTGTGGCCAAGTTTAATGAAATTCTGCCCAGTAGTTTCAGAGAAGATTTTTGTAAAAGTTAACGGAAGACTATGGAAGACCAACGACGGACGCCAAGTGATGAGAAAACCTCACTTGGCCTATTGAGCCAGGTGAGCTAAAAAGTGCTTTCACTGTACTTTCAATATGGTACGCTTAAGAAACTGCAATATAGTCAGGCTAATGTTTTTGTGACAAAAAAGCTTAAGAACTTATAAATGGTATACATTTCTGAATAAAGAGTTTTCACTGTGAATGGGTTATACATGTACTGAAATACATTTCAGTAATAGTAATCATAATTAAAGCAACATTTCCAGAAAAGATTACCTTCTTCTTCTCAGATTTTCATGAAAAAATAGATGTTTTCTTAAAAATGCCAGAATTGCAATGTTGTTTGATACTAAATGGCTAATTTTGGTGAAACTATGTGCAGAATCTGTCAATTTCTGCTTGTTCAATGTGGTTTTAACAAAAGCATTTTGTATTCTGTATTTATGCACCGGCCTATCCCTCTGAAAAATGTTGAGTTAGTTTGGAGGATGTTGGTGGTTAAACCTGACAGTAAATTCTTGTTTTTCATCATATATTGTTCTTTAATCTTTGTGATAATTTAGCAATGTTGACAGAGATTGAAGAGTTTACATGTTATACTAGGCAATTTTCGAAAGTGTAATTGAAAATTGTCATAAGAAACCAACCCAACACTTTTTATAATCTGCAAAAGAATTGACTTGGAGGATAAAAAACAGACCAGGCAAGGTTACAGGAAACAACAAAAATGTTTGCATGGCCTAATCTGACTGAAGACATTTGACCTTTAATTAAATTTTTAAAATAAAAAAAGGAGCCATATATTACCCACCTACCCCTCAAAGTGAAATGGACTAATTATACATGTAAAGTCATTTTGTACCCTAGGAAAAACCATTTCGTACCCTGACAAGTATGAAAGATCTTTCCTTTTTTTAATTATACCTAGCAGGAAAAGTGGTGAATGAAAACAATTAACAAAAATTTCAATGATTTACAAAAAATATATATGATACAAAACAGTTAACATGTAATTAGTCTAGGAGGTATGCAATCAGTTAATGCAGTAGGCTTATAGGGGACGAAATGGCTTTGGTCATGGGTACGAAATGGTTATGGTACGAAATGACTACATGTAGCTACCAAATGGACAGTCCCTTTAGGGAGCAACCATTTAACTTCAAAGGGGGGAGGGGGGATAATGGTTTTTTTTAGTCAGAAAATTTGTTTCGCACATACATGTAGCGCGAACAAATTTATTTACTTTTTCGACGCAATCAATCAGATTATTTTTTTCAAAAGTTAACACTATAAGGTATGGGGGGAATTTGCATTCAGAATATTTTTTTGGGTCATCTGCTTGACCAGAATATATTTTTGGAAAAAACCATAACCTCCCCTGAAAGTTAAATGGTCGTTCCCTTATACATTTGTTGATGTGGTTCATAAGTGTTTCTCGTTTTTTATATACATTAGACCGTTGGTTTTCCCGTTTGAATGGTTTTACACATGTCATTTTTGGGGCCCTTTATAGCTTGCTGTTCGGTGTGAGACAAAGCTCTGTGTTGAAGACCGGACTTTGATATATAATGGTTTACTTTTACAAATTGTGACTTGGATGAGAGAGTTGTCTCATTGGCACTCATAGTCATACCACATCTTCTTATATCTCATTCTTCTTCCTGGTACGGGAAAAACTCCGGTGCCAGAGTGTGGAATATCCCGGATATATCTATGTTCTTATTTCAGGGAAAGTCTCCATATGACTGGCTCAATGCCATACATTGTTAGTCATTTATAATGGAAAAGTGAATAATAAAGAAACACATTAAAGTACCTGTAGCCACTTTAGTATTTATATCAAAAATACCATTTCCTCTCTTTACTTCAGTACGATAGTGAGTTTTGCCCAATTTGATTCTGTCAATATTTCCACATTCAGTACACTGAACAAACAAAATTCCTGACAAGCCAAGGGGTCTGACTCCAAGTGAGTTATGCAGGTGCAAAGGAATGAAACACTTAGTGCATTGCTGTAATTGTTTGGCAAGGACATCAAGTTCTACTACAAAACGACAATAACTTAAATCAACAAGATCTGATGGAATGTTTGTGAAGTCAAAGTCAAAATCTACATTTAAATCTTTTTCTGCCAAATCAATAACTATTTCATTTTCGAAAACAGGATCAAGACAGTCAGGAGTTGTGGTTTCTTTGACATAAGGATGGTCAATAGAAATATCAGGGACAACATATACATCATCTTCATCTTCAACATTTTGTGTTAAACAATTCTGTCGGTTGTACACCAAGTTTTCTATTCTTTTAGTTTTCTGTATTTGTCTTTTCTTTGCAAACTTCCCTCGCTCATTTCTCAATACAGACATACTTATACAGCAGACGATATTCTGCTAATAATTCAGTTTACGGTTGTTCCGATTTATTTTACTTACCATTTTTCTCGAGTACTTTCATGTGCACGGGACTTTGACTGGTCCATTTCGTGGGTTAAACAGTATAAAAAAAACATAAAAATATACCGAAATATAGATCGGATTCCGTCGTTTTCGGTTATCATTTCTGTATCTACCATAACCGACTCAAATCGTACAAACTGCATCAACAATTTTCGTTTTTGACTTCCTTGTTGACATATTTACAAAACCGGAAGTGCAAAATTTAATAACAAAATAACTCAGGAGATAAAAATAAATATAAATAAACGTATTTTAAGCTACAGTATCAATAAACAAGTGTTTCATTTTGTCAAAACTACATTTAATACGCTAAATAATAATGTATGAATTATTGTGACAACAGACCGGTTTCCGTCTTGGATACCGTAACTATGCGCAACAAGTTGCGCAGTGGGCGCGAAAATTTAAACCCGTGAGCCCCCTTAAGTTTCATTATAAAATACAGTCTGAACACAAAAAACAAGATTAGGTTTGATTGAATTCAATGTTTTATCTCTTGTAAACCTGGATACCACCCATGTTATCATTTACAAACAGATCTACTGTGCCCACCTTCCAAAAAAGACGTCATCATTTTGCCAGAAAGCTGTTTGATAAATGATTATTATGTAAACAAAGTAAATTCAAAACAGAATTACTGCATAATGCCATTCTTGTTAATTGTTTGATACAAATCTATTCACGGGTTTACTCAATATAGAAATATTGAATCAATTCATCAAACGCGCCGTCCTCACTAGTACGGTGAACGAGTAAGGAGAAGTCGCTTATTTACAGAGTTTAGTTGTGATTTGGACTATACGGCTATAAATCACAGTATTGGTAGTTCGATGATATGACTTTACATTTTGGCTGTCGTCAAAATATTGAACGGTGCAATGTTTTGTAAAAAGGGCTTTTAACATGTTAAAGTAAGTTAACTTACATTAAAAAGAAAAAAAAAATGACATTGAAAAGTGTGTAGGTCTGCATTCTTTCAGAACATTCGTAATATGCTTTCTGTTATTATATAAATTGTTGTTACACCTTGTTTTAACGAATTCAAATAAAATAAAGCCAAAATTATCCGTTATTGAAGATTTTTAGTAAAAGTTTAGTACTAGGAATATTTACATTTAAAAGAGTACGCTTCAATTCAATTTCATAATTGATGTTTTCGCTAAATGTAAAATAATCGACATCTATATAATATTCCAAACCTTAATTAAACAATAAATTCACATTTTGAAAAAAGGTGTCGTTTGTCAGAGAAGTAGCAATGAATCAGTCCATTTATTTACAGCTAAAAGTAAATAAAGCTTTTTTTGTCAGTTGAAAGTCGTTATGATGGAATCACTTGTACTTTAAGATAAAAAGGATGAGAAGTTCTCTTCTAGTAAAGTTATACTGTTAGTACAGTATGTCGGTTGATTATTTTGTTGGTAGGTAAACAGCAAGTTGCAAATATTTTTTGGACGTCCCAGATATCATGTATAATCCGAAAATGACAAACCTGACGAAAATGACGATTGTTTATAAATGTACCACACATTATGTAGAATAAAACTGTTCAAATTTCTTTTGAACATTTTGTCGAAAACGTAAATCAAAGGCAAATAAGGTGAATTGCGATGAAATATTCATGCAATGCATAGAGTTTAATTTAGGAAGAGACCGTAAAAAATGTGGAACGAAGCAACGTCAACAATGAAGTTGATATCCCATGATTTAAAAATATTGTTCCGATGCGTTCTATCAGCTTTCTACTTAAACAACAGTCTTTTCTTTTTAGATAGCTGCATGTGATCACAAAAGTGTACATTTATATCCATTCATTAATGTATATAAGAATATAAACTAAAAACAAAAGAAATGTTTAATGTCTATAATGTCTATATATAGAGAGTCTAACGAGTAAAGTCATTTGCTTTATTGGGAAACAAGTACAATACGATTCTCGTGTACATAATAAAAGGTCAGGTCTAATATGAAAAGTCTAAATCACGGTAATCGGTCATTATCAGACCTATCATTAAGTCTGGTCAGTAGCAGACCTGTCCACAGGTCTGATCGGGACAGACCTATCCTCAGGACTGGTCAATAGCAGACTTGTTCACAGGTGTGGTCTGGTGCAGACGTGTAAATATGTCTGCAGCAGTCCAAAAAAACAGGCGTCAGATCTGGTTTACCAACGACGAAGTTAACTTGGATGTCTGCTTAGAATTTCTCAAGTTAACTTTGAAAACAGTAAACAAGTTTGCTCCATGTGAACTTGTGTACAGGTCAGGACTGCACCCATCTGCACCATAAAACATTTTGCCCGCTTAATTCCATTTTTTTTTTTCAAAAACAATTTCCATGCACAATATATCATGGACACGTTTTAGTTCTCAAAAACTATTAAAATAAAACAAGGATAAAAATATAAAGACATTTATAAAAAAAAAATCCTTGTTATATTTTGATACTCTTTGAGAACAAAAACATGTCAATCATAAAGATATGAAAATTGAAGAGAGAACATAAGATTTTGTACCCGCTAAAATATCATTGGCTAATGTCTAGAAAAAAAACCCACACAAATCTTTATTATTTTTGTTGCTCTTTTTGCTCCTTTATCAATCCCCTTTCAAAGAGTAACAAGGTATTGAACAGATTGCTATTTTGGAACTGAGAAGCAAACCTTATGCTTCTTCTATTTTTAGGCTTTTGGACTACTTCATTGCGGTCAGTTTTTATGGGTGGAGGAAGCCGGAGTGCTTAATGTGCTGACAATTTTCTGGATGTTCATTGTTTAGCAGTAAGACTTCCTGATATACTGAAATTTTACAGTAACAGAGTCATTACAGTAAACGTGTATGTGTTCTATCTTAGTTACGAATATACATTTTATTAATCCCAATTAGACTCCATTCCATTTTTTTTTTCAAAAACAATTTCCATGCACAATATATCATGGACACGTTTTAGTTCTCAAAAACTATTAAAATAAGACAAGGATAAAAATATAAAGACATTTATAAAAAAAAAATCCTTGTTATATTTTGATACTCTTTGAGAACAAAAACATGTCAATCATAAAGATATGAAAATTGAAGAGAGAACATAAGATTTTGTACCCGCTAAAATATCATTGGCTAATGTCTAGAAAAAAAACCCACACAAATCTTTATTATTTTTGTTGCTCTTTTTGCTCCTTTATCAATCCCCTTTCAAAGAGTAACAAGGTATTGAACAGATTGCTATTTTGGAACTGAGAAGCAAACCTTATGCTTCTTCTATTTTTGGGCTTTTAGATTTATTACATGTATATATATATATATTCAAATAAACGATCAACGGTACATATATCGGTGATTTCTCAGTTGATGACCAGTGGCGGAACCATAATTGTTTGAATAGAGGGGAGGATGAAACATGTTTTGATTCTATAAGCAGGGGGCTCGGACACAATTTTGTTAAAACACCTTGTTAGTTTTAAAGACGTCATTGCATTGATAGCATTAAACTGGCACACGTTTCTTGCTTGAATAGACTACTGGACGGGTAATTTGAGGACCATATTCATTTACTATTCGCCAATAATCTTAATATTAAATTATCTTTACAACCGTTAAATTTCTAGTCCGGGGTGCAGTCGGGGAAAAAAGGAAATTTGTATTGTTCCGGTTGCACTTCTTGGATACTTTCGCAAAACCTTTCCCAGGATAAAGTTTAGACATTCAAACTTATTATATTTTAACTTTATAATTATATCACGCGCAACACAAAGTGAAGAGCATAATGAAATTTATGTTTTAGCTTTTTTTCAATTTGTTTTTGGTTGTTTGTAGTTTTTTATTATTTTGCTTCTATACTTTATGGTAACACAGTCATCGTTATCATAATTCATTTAATTACTCGCCAATATGTTCAAGGGGTAGAGGAAACGGGGGTGGGGGGTCTCTTATATGAAGGTTTATACATATGTCCCGCTTTAATGGGTCCCTTTGTATATGTCAAATATATCAATGGGTTGCTACTTCAGCATGGTAGTATGACATTGGGTCAGTAACACAATAAATTCTTTTGATCTCCTTAATTATTTATGACTGTAAAAGTATATATCATTGATGCGTTTTGTTTTTTTTATCTGTGTTTAAAAGGTGTTAGTACATAAGGTAATGAGTGTTGGCACATACTGTAATGATTGTTGGTCATTAACGGTATATGTGTTTGCAGGTTACATAATATGTATAAATATTTGCAAATAACCTAAAAGGTGCTTGTACAAAACATTGTGGCGACGTCATATTATTGTTGTACCCGTTCTTTATTTCAGTGATTGGACTGTCCAATATTTTAAAGAATAGGCCTCCTATTTCTTAAAAATATTGGACAACTGAAGGTAGCATAATGGTTTCTTACAGTTAAGTGATAGTCCAAACACTGAAAAAAAAAACTATCAATTCCGTGAAATTTGTTCTTCATGTGAAAAAAATACAACCAAAAAACAAATGACAATTAAAAAAACATTTTATAAAAGTCACCTTCCAAAACAATAGTTTTGTCAATCATCATAACAGTTTCTTGAGATAAAAAAAAACACTTTCAAATTTATTTTAACACTCCCAATACTTATATCACAGCCATTTTTCTCATGTTTTGAGTTGTATCCTTAAGCACTAATTCAATTGGTTGATACTGCTTGTTATTTATATAAAAAAAATGTGGTATGCTTGCCAATGAGAAAACTCTCTACAAGAGACCAAATACAGAAATAAACAACTATAGGTCACTGTATGGCCTTCAACAGTGAGCAAAGCCCATACTGCATAGTCAGTTATAAACGGCCCCGAAATGACAATGTAAAACAGTTCAAACGAGAGAACTAACGGCCTACGTTTTGTACAAAAAATGAACGAAAAACAAATATGTAACGCGTAAAAAAACGGAAACCACTGAATTACAGGCTCCTGAATTCTGTAAGTCTCGTTCTTTGTTGCTTTTATGTATTTATTTTTGCAAAAGATATTTTTATATTTACATACTTCTTTGGTAATCAAAATTGACCTCTGGTGTTGTAATTATAAGTAGGTAATGCTTCTAACGAATGATAGATCATACCGCAATACAACGCCCATAAACAACCTTAACCTCATCCTGTGTACAAAGTGCAAATCTAAAACTTGCTTCATGAACTAGGGGACTACAGTAG